AAACGTTGAAATTGTAAAGGTTCTGATAGCCTCCGGCTGCGGAATTGGTAACAATTCGGCCGACATGGTTTTGCACGAAGCGGCGGCGATAAACCGGGTCGATTTGATTGAGATTTTGTGCAAGAGTTTCGCCGGGATCGACCTGAATTGGGTCGACCCGGAAGGTCGGACTCCGATCCACGTCGCGGCGGCGCACGGTCACGTCGAGACGTTGAAGTTTTGTATTTCGGTTGGAGGCAATGCTGAGGTTTCGGACTGTGAAGGTTGGAGCCCTCTTCATTGCGCAGCGGAGAAGGGTCATTTGGAGGCCGCCAAGTGTTTGTTAGATTGCTCCAATGGCAAGTATGCCGTCACCAGAGATGGAAGGACGGCTTTTGACATAGCCGCGGCTAACGGGCACTCAGGCCTGCTCGGTGTTCTGCGTTACGACGACGTTCTGCACAGGGCGGCGAGGTTGGACGATGCGCATGGGTTGAAGAGTTGCCTTGCGGAAGGGGCAGATGTGAATGGGAGGGACCAAAATGGGTGGACCCCTTTGCACAGGGCTGCATTCAAAGGCAGGATTGAGTGTGTGAAGGTGTTGCTTAACCATGGTGCTCAGGTTGATGTGGTTGATGATGCTGGGTACACCCCGCTGCATTGCGCGCTGGAGGCGGGGCACGTGCAGGTTGCTCTGCTGTTGGTTGCTCATGGAGCTCGAGCCAATGTGAAGAGTTTGGAGGGTGTGATGCCTATCAATTTGGACCGCTTCAAGAACCACCCAGCTCTTGTCCAGCCCTTGTGTCATGAAAAAGAGCGAGCTTGAAGAACTGATATCGTGAATATTATAATGTGTTGTTAAATTATCTTGTTATGTTATGATGCATTATGCAATCCAATGTGTATATAGTTATGTCGATTTTCGGATGTTTGTTGTATAATGTGGGATGATGAGTTTGAATGGTTGGGATAGAGAGAGATATGTAGGAGTTGTAATTGTGTTTCCCCTCCACAACCATGTTGTAAAAGTGAGTAAAACTCCCATTTCTAGGGAACCACGATGGCCTCTGATGAAGCTTCAGCTCAGTCTCATATGTAACTTACGGCGAGAAATCAAGTTTTACAAAGCACCAAAAATGACCTGGGATTTTTGTTTCAAATTCAATCGATGCTTGTACAAGCCTTTTATTTTCTTCCAAACTTGGACATCCAAGAGTCACTATGTATGCGGATCTGATTTCAGGTCAAACTCATTTCATTAGAATGCAAATCGCAATGCACCTACCTGAGCTAACAATTGTTATACATTACAATTTACATGCCCACAAATCCACCAACAATCACAACTATGAAGTTGGTCTTGTCGGGCATGTGGGAACAACGTCTATCCTAAGTCAGATTACAAAACAATTGTGGAAAATGTCAGCTGAAAATTTCTCAGAATTATTTGATCAATGACTTGAAACTCTACTTAAACTATATTTGGTTCTTAATTCTCATCGGCTGGTATTGGACGTTGAAAAATCGACATGGAGTTACAAAGTTATTCTTGATAAAAAAAAAACGATAGTATTTTATTGATAAGATAAATAAAAATATTTATTTTTGTAACTTATCAATTGGTTGGTTCATTCCCCAACCAGGGTTTAACGATCATTTCAACTGAATTTGAACGTACCGGCCACGAAGGAATGTGACTATTGAACTATATTATAGACTTTATCTAGAAGAACGATGTGGAAGCCAGAGGAAACAGCCCATGAAATTGGGGGTTTCATCGAATGTGGTCAAATCCAAATTGGGTTTCCAGACCACATTAAGAGAAGCCCAGATAAAAACTAGTCAATTGTTTGGATTGGGTCAACCTCAACCCACAAAACCATGACTTAGACCAAGTATAAGCGAAGCCCAATCCGGACGATGACCCACAGGATACGACGACGTCGTTTTTCGAATTCGAAAGTTACAGTCGAACTAAGATTTCAGCTAATGCAAATTGCAATGCACCTACCTGAGCTAACAATTGTTATACATTACAATTTACATGCCCACAAATCCACCAACAATCTCAACTATGAAGTTGGTCTTGTCGGGCATGTGGGAACAACGTCTATCCTAAGTCAGATTACAAAAACAATTGTGGAAAATGTCAGCTGAAAATTTCTCAGAATTATTTGATCAATGACTTGAAACTCTACTTAAACTATATTCGGTTCTTAATTCTCATCGGCTGGTATTGGACGTTGAAAAATCGACATGGAGTTACAAAGTTATTCTTGATAAAAAAAACGATAGTATTTTATTGATAAGATAAATAAAAATATTTATTTTTGTAACTTATCAATTGGTTGGTTCATTCCCCAACCAGGGTTTAACGATCAATTCAACTGAATTTGAACGTACCGGCCACGAAGGAATGTGACTATTGAACTATATTATAGACTTTATCTAGAAGAACGATGTGGAAGCCAGAGGAAACAGCCCATGAAATTGGGGGTTTCATCGAATGTGGTCAAATCCAAATTGGGTTTCCAGACCACATTAAGAGAAGCCCAGATAAAAACTAGTCAATTGTTTGGATTGGGTCAACCTCAACCCACAAAACCATGACTTAGACCAAGCATAAGCGAAGCCCAATCCGGACGATGACCCACAGGATACGACGACGTCGTTTTTCGAATTCGAAAGTTACAGTCGAACTAAAATTTCAGCTCGCGGGCTCGAAACATTTCAAATCTATACAAATCATCTCCATACACAGCCACGTCAGCCATCCGCGTGAAACCTCACCCAACCAATCAAACGCTCTCTGGCACTGACCCTTCCGTCCATATAAACCCACACGGTTGAACCTTGAAGGCATCTCCAAATTCCAAAGACGTGAATTTTTTCAAACTTGAATTGAAATTCCCAAATCGAGAACCATGAGCTCCACAGCAGCAGCCACCACCAAATCAGGCAGAGGCAAGGTTAGAGGCACCAAGTCGGTCTCAAGATCCCAGAAGGCCGGTCTGCAATTCCCGGTCGGTCGCGTCGCCAGGTTCCTCAAGGCCGGTCGGTACGCTCAACGAGTCGGCAGTGGCTCCCCGGTCTACCTCTCTGCTGTCCTCGAATACCTAGCTGCTGAGGTACGTCGTCGTTTGAAGGCTGTTATATTAACTTCCTTGTTCATTTGGGGTTTCTCTTTCTCTTTTGTGGGTTATTGTTGGCTAACTGTTTGATGTTTTGGGTTGTGCTCAGGTTCTGGAGTTGGCAGGGAATGCTGCGAGGGACAACAAGAAGAACAGAATCACTCCGAGACACATTCAGCTTGCAGTGAGAAATGATGAGGAGTTTACGAGGCTTTTGGGGTCTGTGACGATTGCTAATGGAGGTGTTCTGCCCAATATTCATCAGAATCTGCTTCCAAAGAAGGGTGGCAAAGCAAAGGGCGAGATTGGTTCTGCTTCCCAGGAGTTCTAGGGTTGGTAGATTTTGTTGTTAGGAAAAAGAAGAAAAAGAAAAATTTGAGCCCCTTGTTCGGTTAAGGCTCTTGCTTTTTGATGGGTAGTTTAGATTGTTAGAAGGAAGTAATTGTAAAGCTTTGCTTCCAGGAAGATAACCATGTTGTATTCTACTGGAGTTTATATCGTTCAGTGCAGATTCTAATTTCCAAATTTGGTTTTGTCCAATTACATCTGCTTCTTGTTTTTGGTTAGTTTTATATTTTTTGTAGGTGCACAAATTTCTGATAATAATCAATCTTGCTAAGAATTTGTCTCCAAAAAAAAAAAAAACAACAAAAAATCTTGCTAAGCATTTGCCGTTGTTATTTTGATGTTTGGTTTCCACATGGGCCGGGCCCAGTATGGAGAGAAAGTTTGAACTTTGAATCAGCGTCGCACTTTTCCAGCTTCCCTCGTTTTACCAAAGTTTCCCTCTTTTTTCAATGCTCGTGAAAATTAAATTTCCACGCTGGCAATCCGCGGCAATCCTCCTCAACCAATCAGAGTAAAGCATCCATTCACACCCCACTACCCTTCCCTTCTATATAAACCCATCCTCTTCTGCAAACCCTTACGCATCAGACACCTGCAACCCAGAGCATCACACTCTTCATCTCATTTCGATTTTCTCTCCTAGGGTTTCAGATTCAATCCCAATTCAAATCCCAGTATGAGTTCGCCGACTTCCAAGGGAGGCAGAGGCAAGCCTAAAGCTTCCAAATCCGTGTCCAGGTCTCACAAGGCTGGCCTCCAATTTCCAGTTGGCCGTATCGCTCGATTCCTTAAGTCTGGCAAGTACGCCGAGCGAGTCGGTGCCGGCGCGCCGGTCTATCTCTCTGCCGTTCTCGAGTATCTCGCTGCTGAGGTTTGTTTTGTTAATCCGCTGCTTTGGATCGTTGTTTTCTTTTATTTTCTTGGTTCTATGGGTTGTTTGGTTACTGAGAAAATAATTGTTATTGCAAATGGGTTTTGATCGGAAACGATTCTGATCTTTGATTCTTAATCTCTGTTTGTTTTAGTGAACTAAGGCGTTTGATTTGACTGGGTTACAGGTACTTGAGCTTGCTGGCAATGCAGCCAGAGACAACAAGAAGAATCGAATTGTTCCAAGGCATATTCAGCTGGCTGTGCGTAACGACGAGGAGTTGAGCAAGCTTTTGGGGACTGTTACTATTGCTAATGGCGGTGTTTTGCCAAACATTCATCAGACTCTGTTGCCGAAGAAGATTGGTAAAGGGAAAGGAGACATTGGATCTGCCTCTCAAGAATTTTAGAGCTGCTTGTTAAAATTTGGGGACGATTTGTTGTAAACACAAACTTTGGGAATTTTGGTTTAGTAATTATCATTGCGGAGTGAAATTGACTGGCGTTTTTTATGAGATTTGTGGTACTTATCGGTTGAGAAATCAAATTGAAAATATAAATAAATATGGGGTGATTATCTTATTTTAGCCCTTTTATCCCTTATTTTGTTATTACAAAAGTTATAAATCCACTTTTAATTTTGGGAAATGGAAAAGAAAGTGAGTGTATTGATGGAAAATGGTTTTTCTTGGCCAAAATTAATAGGAAATAGTTTAATAAGATATGAATAAGGGGAAATGGTATGTTAGTAAACAAATATTTGTATCAATTATCAGCACGAAATCGTTGTTAATGTAAAAATAATTTTATTTGCGGGTGTTTTTAGTAAACAAATATTTTGTATCAATTATGTGGAGGAAGGAGGAATTTTATACTTCGAAAAATCGCTAGACGTCTAGGCTTCTAAGCCTAGGTTTTCTTCAAAGTCAGAAAAAAGGGCAAAAAAAAGGACCCGACGCCTAGGCGGGCGCCTAGGCCCATTTTTCGAACATTTCATTTATATATATATATATTTGAAAATTAGCGATAATTCCGTTCTCTTTTTATCTTATCCAACCCCTGAAAATCCACCAAACTTGCGCCGATATAGCAGATACTTTGATTTTTCTCCTCCCCGTTACACTCACAGTTGACAAACTCAAAGAGCTTCTCAGGCGAAGCAATGGCGGTGCCTCTCTTCAACCTCGCCCCCAATCTTACAGTTTCAAAGCTGTGCTTTGGTTCAACTCTATTTCTTGCCCATGTCTACTTGTGCCATTCTGTACCCTCTGACTCTGAGTTTGATTCTTTGGCCCTCCCTCTCATTCATTCTTCGCAGGGACGATGACTTTCGGCGAGCAAAACACGTTTCCGGAGTCCTTTGGCCTCCTCGACCAAGCTTTCCAGGCCGGCATCAATTTCTTCGACTCTGCAGAAATGTATCCAGTGGTTCAGCGAGCCCAGACTCAGGGTAGGAGCGAGGAGTACCTTGGCCGTTGGATTAGAGAGCGCAGAGTTCCTCGAAACAGTGTCGTTTTGGCCACCAAGGTTGTAAAGTAGCTCTGAGAGTATCAGTTCATGCTAATAATGGTGTGCCAGCTTGCTTTTCACTTCTGATGTGTGAAAATTTGTTCTGATATTAGAGGTTACGGGACCGTCTGGGCAGATGAAAACACTTGGATACGAGATGGCCCCAAGTGTTTGAATGCTAAGAATATCACCGAGGCCATTGACGGCAGGTTTGCTCAAGCAAACAGTTCGTAATTTTGCTTCTGTTTACACGCTTCGTGTTATGCTGTGCTGAGTGATGAGTTATGTAATGTTTAAATGCAGCTTAAGGCGATTGCAGACAGATTACATTGATCTTTATCAGATTCATTGGCCTGATCGGTTTGTATGTAGATCCTTCCTTTTAGTGTTTTGGGATTTTGCTTTCACTTTACTCTAAATTTGACAATGGGTGTATCCTTCGTTGCTTTCACATTATTTTTTCCCCAACCATATATGTTTACACCACCATAATTTGGTTGTCTTCACCCAGGCTTGTCTTGCTTTTTCCACTTTGTGCCTACACAATCCCTGTTAGTAAGACTTGAACTGATTAATGACTGTTTTTGTAGCTATGTTCCCATGTTTGGAGAAATTGAGTATGATCCAACCCGACAGTTTTGTTCGATTCCTATGGACGAACAACTTGATGCTCTTGGAAGAGCTGTTGATTCTGGTAAGGTTAGTTTCATACTGTTGCCTTTCTTCCCCTTTCTTTGATAAGTCATTTAGTTTGGTGACTTTTTCCTTTATTTTGCGTTGTTTTAAAAGCATAACATTCCCATGTGAATTGAACGGAAATGTTTGTTTTGTAGATTAGATATGTTGGTCTCAGTAACGAAACACCATATGGGGTGATGAAGTTTGTTCAGGTAGCTGAAAGGGGTACTCGCCATCCAAAGATTGTCTCTGTGCAGGTTGTCTATTTGATCATTGCACTCTCAGTCAAATGCTTACTGTATTGTTGCTGTTTTTTGGACTAATGCAACTTATTGTCTATTTGATAGAACTCATACAGCTTGCTCAGTCGAACTTTTGATTCTGGGTTGGCTGAATGCTGTCATCATGAGAGGTATTCAAAGTGTTGGTTTTCAGAAAAAGTGAATAGCTGAACAATTAATTATTTCATCTGGTATGAAATGATAGGGAAAGCTTGCTTGATTTGTGCATGCCAATTTCTTGATGAAGTTGAAGTTATGTTACTTTTCCTATCCTGTCTTGAGCAGTTCTTGAAGAAATTCAATTGAATATTCTTGCTAATTAGTAGCTTGAATAATATAAAATTAGTAACTGGAATTAAAATTCCAACAGAGAACATGAGAGTCACTTTAGGGGGGTAGGGATTCTTATCTTAACATGCATTTTGGGTTTTCATTTTTTATGGCTTTCAAACCTAGGTAAGCCATTGAATAAACCTTATTCAAGGGAGTTTCCGAGTCAGTTATATTGAGTGGTAAAAAGATCAATTTAATTATATTATTTATAAATGAGTTGCTGCCACTTCATGTAATACTAATGATTTTCTGTTGGGCTATTGAATGTTTTAGGATCAGTTTATTAGCTTACAGCCCCCTTGCAATGGGTATACTCTCTGGGAAGTATTTTTTGGCTGATGGGGGTCCTGCGGATGCTCGGCTGAATCTTTTTAGAGGTTAATTTTCAAATTGTTCATGTCATCTTTTGATATTTAGGAACTTTCTGCACTCTTAGGTGGTGATTTTGTTTCAATTGGACTGTCATGTTTCTATTTGCAGGTAAATATTCGGAAGGGGAATCCAGATACAACCTGTCTGATCACATCATAAGAGCAGCAGCCATGGTATGGATATTCTTCTGTTCACTTTGATAGGCCAATTGAAAGATTACGCTGAATCTAAGGTTATTTAGAACTTTGAATTCAAGTTAGCACAAATGCCTTTTGAAAACTTTGATAAAAATCTGGCCCTCTGGGTGAGAAAATGATAGTCATACCTTTTCACTGGTTTTGTTTCAATGTCATGTTTACGTCTTATTGGTATGATGCCCAGTGGTTAATAATATTTTTTTAAAGGCAATATATTACTTTTGATTAAGTGTATGCATGCATGCTTGGGTGTGTGGGTATATAGAAGCCTGTGTTTCTGCATCGGTGCCATAGCAGTTCATGAACTGCATCGGTGCCATAGAGATAATCAACATGTGACAGGCAATATTATCTCTAGTTCCAGCATTTGGTCTCTTTACTGCATGTTGTATTTATCGAATATTGCCTGTCACATGTTGATTTACTAATCTGCTTTTATTTCCATTCACAGGAATACATTGATATTGCAGGGAAGTACAGTGTTCACCCAGTATCTCTTGCAATAGGTTAGACACCTCTCCCTCCAATTCTTTATAGTTTCTTCATGTTCTTGTCCACGTTAGGACTGTGGTTTGGAGACTTTGTTGGAAAATGAAAAGTCACCTCTTTGCTTGTTCCTCTTCCCTTTTTCTCAACCTAGTTGCTGAAACCATACATACAGGAAAACACTGATTGCAGCATCATTTCCGCCTTTAATTGCTTGAGCTAATACATCTTTTATGGATTTGACATAAACTATGTTGTTGTCCTTAAAACTACAGATTTGACGATATTTATGTTTTATGCATTTCAATTTGTGATGTGGCAGCTTTTGTTTTGAGCCACCCCCTTGTTGCGAGTGTTGTGTTTGGAGCAACGAAGTCATGGCAACTGCAGGAGGTTCTAGATGGATGCAAGGTCGAGCTGACACCTGAAGTAATTACAGAAATCAACAAGATTCATGAAAGGTTTCCTAATCCATGTCCCTGATCAAAATTCATGCTAATTCTATTTCTTCCTCGTTTGAAATATTGTCAGAATGTCTGAAATAGATTCGCATCTCATCTCTGGTATATATTATTTGTAAATTCGTTGAATTGATAGTTAATGATGATGGATATTGGTCTAGAAAGTTGCTCAGAATCTTGTAGGATTTTTGTCTTCTAGAAATGATGGTGATTCCTCCTTCCAAGCATCCTGTAACTTAAATGCGCTTCTCATGCCAAAAAGTGGGGCCTCTTCTACATTCTTTCTGCCAAATTTCCTTCAATTTTGGGGCCATTCCGGTCTTTTGTCGTGACGGGCATTGACTGCTGTGAACAATGTAGCTCAGCATTGTGTTGTTATTAGCTTTTGAGCTACTTGTTGCAGAATGTTGAACAAGAACCCGGCGTGGAAAAAAAAGTCTTGGTAAAAAGTCTTTACGTTGTTACATACGTTATACATAAATACATGTATGGGCGGATATCTAGAAGACCAAAATGTACCCAATTTTTTTATTAATTTTTTTTTATTTTATGAAATGTACCCAAAATTTGGCTTAACATTTCTTGTAGGTTTTTATGTTTCGTGTTATGTCCCTTGTCTTTTTTATTTTATTTTTGTGTTTACGATTTTTAATTAAAGATTAATATGTCGACATGTCTATCGTTACTTTATTAATGTTAATGAAATTATGTCGAAAATATATGGATACGGTTGGTTGACAACAATGATATCAACACATTATAGATGACATTAGAGATGTGATGTTATGAAAATGTGTATTGATACAGTTGATTGGCGCCAATAATATCAATAATTTGATGGGACGTGGCGTAGTTTTTTCTTCATTAGGACAATCTAGTGTATAAATTGCTCGTTTTTTTCCATTGTTACAATGTACTTGTATTAAATACGGACAATGTGGTACAAAGACAAAATCTGACGCCGTTGACTCAACGCAGTCGCGTAGGCTTTTATAGGTGTTATCTCACAGAGGAGAGGAGAAAAAAAGGCAATGTATTTAACACCCACAAGTCTGAAACACCCTTACAACCTCCCCGATTATTCTATTCAATTCTCATTTCGATTCGATACGATTAAGTAAAAACATAAATTAAAACAAAGAAAAAAGAAAAGAAAATAGAGGGTCCGGAGCCGAAGCTCGGGCCCCAGCAGCACCACAACTTCAGCCAACAGCGATCACTAATCATCATCATCACCATTAACGGGTTTCTTTTGTTTTTTCTTTTCCCTCTAATTGAATCGATTTTTCGAAAGTGAGAGCAAGCAGGGAGGACGAAGCAGCAGATCAAATCAAAGGCTTGCTTGCTACTGCTGCTGCTTCTGGGTTCGGGTTTGGTTTTGATCTGGTTTCGGTTTGATGGGTTCGAAGCCATGGCTGTACCCGGCTCCGACCTATCGTACTCTCGAGACCTATTGGGATACCGACGACGACGGCCCTGGTCCACGCTGCGGCCACACCCTCACCGCCGTCGCTGCCACCAAGACCCATGGCCCACGCCTCATACTATTTGGTGGTGCCACCGCCATTGAAGGCGGCGCCGCCTCCTCCGCCCCTGGCATTAGTACCATTTCTCTCCCTCTCTCAACTTCCTCTTTTTTCGATTTTTGTATTGAAGTTGTTCCTTTTCGATTTTGCTTAATTGTGTGAGCGTTTGTTAATTCTGAATGTAGGGTTAGCGGGGGTGACCAATTCGGTTCATTCCTATGATGTTCTCACCAGGAAGTGGACTAGGTATTTGCCATTTGTTAATTATGAATTATGTTTCTCTTATATCTTTCTTTTCTTTCTTTGGAAAAAAAAAAAATCTGACCTTTATAACTAGTTGGATTGAATTGGAAGCTTACTGATCGTTCTTCTGCTTTGGTTGGTGTTCAAATTTTGCAGAATGAGACCTGCAGGTGAGCCACCGTCTCCCAGGGCAGCTCACGCGGCAGCTGCGGTGGGCACTATGGTTGTTTTTCAGGTAAATTAAGAAATAAATTTGGGGACTGATTGGAAATTTAGAGGTTTATAATTCCGGAGGTTTTCTTTTACTGGGCTTTTAATGCTTTGAAAGTATATGGATTAACTTTTCTTATAAATGAGTGTTTGCTTGATATGTGTGGATTCCTGCTCAATGTCTAGGGTGGCATAGGTCCTGCTGGGCATTCTACAGACGATCTCTACGTGCTTGATTTAACCAACGATAAGTTTAAATGGCACAGGTGACCATAAGTGACCTTAAATTGAGCTTATCCTACTTCAGACTTTGTAGATTATTTTTTAAAATGGTGGTGCAAATCATATTTGTTTTGGTTTTTTGTTATCTGTCCGTAGAGTGGTTGTACAAGGACAAGGACCTGGGCCTCGCTATGGCCATGTAATGGACTTAGTTGCTCAAAGATATCTTGTTACTGTCAGTGGAAACGATGGTGGGTGTATTCACTAAACCCTAAGTAATTGTTATCCGTGAGCTTCACTGTTGTCAAATGCAAGGCTTTTTCTTAGAAGCATGTGATGGTTCCTTTTATCTTTTATTAATGTTAACTTTTATTTTAAAGGAAAAAGAGTTCTTTCTGATGCATGGGCTCTGGATACTGCCCAGAAACCTTATGCATGGGCAAGGCTGAACCCAGAAGGTGACAGACCTTCTGCTAGAATGTGAGTAATATTCATATTTTGACAATTGAAAAGTTATGAAAATGCTGGTGGACTCTGTAAATACTCCATGAACCAACCTTATTTTGCAGGTATGCAACAGCCAGTGCCCGCTCAGATGGCATGTTTTTGCTTTGTGGTGGAAGGGATATTTCTGGAGCGGTATGTGGTATCTTTTCTTTCCAGATGATTTGATAAATTTCCAAATCATATGTGAAACATGGAGCAAGAAGTGATTTAGGATTGATTTGGAAAGTTAGGGGGAATCATTCACTTGCATGACATGGAAGATCATGAAGTTTAGATAGAATTTTTTAGCAAACATTTCTCAATTATATCAAACCCACTTCTGGCACTTTCCATGTGTTTCGAAGATGTCTTTGAATTGTAGAGGCACTATTTCTCTAAGTAGATTTTCCTTGTAACCATGGACCTAATTTTTCAATTTGTTTTTTAATAATAAATTCGCTTTCATTTATGAAGCTAGTAATAGAAATAGTTGGGTATTGTGTGTGTCAATTGTATACTCGAGGTCTTCTGGGCTAATAGTTTATCTGATTCATTTGCTCATGTCTATTCTCCCACAGCCACTAGCAGATGCCTATGGACTGCTCATGCATAGGAATGGTCAGTGGGAGTGGACCCTTGCACCTGGCGTGTCCCCTTCACCAAGGTATCAACATGCTGCGGTAAGTGATAATATATAAACCAGGAATATACTACCCTTTGTATGTTTCAGGATTATTTGATATGTGTTTTCTAAGTGTACCACTTAGGTTATGGAATATATATTTAAGTGAAGAAATCATATAATGTTCTTGGTATGAATGCATTTTGCATTTTTGTACATACTTGGCTGCCTCTCTTCTGACTTAACTTTACCCATCGAACCTTATTTAAGCACCGAATTGACATTGTTTGCTGTCAGGTTTTTGTTGGTGCAAGATTACATGTCACAGGAGGTGCTCTTAGGGGAGGACGTGGTATAGAAGGTGAAGGAGCTATTGCAGGTAATCTTTTGGTTGTCAATTTCATCACCATGACTTATATGGTAATTTCAGTAAGTTTTCTTAATACCTTTTTTGTATGTTCTTTTTCCTTATTTGATAGTATTGGACACTGCTGCCGGAGTTTGGCTAGACAGAAATGGGCTTGTGACTTCCTCACGGACAGGAAAGGGACAGAATGACTATGATCCTCCTTTGGAGCTTATGCGTCGTTGTCGCCACGCTGCTGCATCTCTTGGTGTTCGTATATATATTTATGGAGGTCTTAAGGGAGGTAAAGACTTTAGAACATAATTGAGAATGTGAATAATGTAATGGCATAACAAACAAGAATCAAGTGTTAATTGCAAGAATGGACGTACTGATTTTTGGTTGTTAGGAGGGAATCCAAAGTGTTATTTGCAAGAATAGACTAAAACATTCTGTTTATTATCATCTAGTAAGTTTCCTCCTTAATTATCAGAAGATTCTTGACATGAGAGATTTAGCATTGGTATCATGGATTTAAGGGGATGTGTCCTGAAAAAAGAAGAAGCTGGTATTAGTTAACACCGGTAATATTTCTGTAATGAAATTTTCATAGGGTTTGTTTTGTAGCTATACTACTATACTAAAAAACGTTTAAATTAAGCGTGATATGTGTATATGACCTCTGGGATCTGTCTATCTTAGATTCCAATATGCACTTCTGGTGCAGCCTTCCTCTACTTATGTGGTTTTGTATATACTATATCATGTGGTAATATAATTTTTGTTTGTCTTCTTGTACAGACATCCTGTTAGATGACTTCCTGGTTGCAGAAAATTCATCATTTCAATCTGAAATTGGTTCGCCTGTTTTAACATCTGAGAGATCGCCAACTGTAACAAGTCCCAGACCGTTTCACGCTAACACAAGTACTTTTGGAACATCACCATCTTCGGATGGCGAACCTGAGAGTCCCTCATCCAGTGGTTTGAGGTATATTTCCGTGTCCTTGTTTCCCACTTTTCCCAAGTACTTGACCGAGCCACATGCTCATAATTTGTGCGATACATAATCATCTTTGGCAGCATGGACAAAAATTCTATGGAGAAACTACGGGAGGCTTCTGCAGCTGAAGCTGAGGCAGCTAGTGCTGTTTGGCAAGCTGTGCAGGCAACATCTGCCACTCCTGCTGAAGAAACTTCTGTTTCAGATGATAACTCACACGTTGCAGAAACATTGTCCGATGGTAGTGACACTGAGGCAGATGTTCGCCTTCATCACCGAGCTGTATGTCTGTTGTATCAATGCCTAATTTCGGGATTTGTTTGCATCTTTAAGTGGCATATTTATAATTTTATGTTGTTGTAGGTTGTCGTTGCCAAAGAGGTTGTAGGTAACCTGGGTGGGATGGTAAGACAGTTGTCTTTGGATCAATTTGAAAATGAGAGTAGACGAATGATTCCAATGAATAACGACTTATCACATCCTAACAAAAAGTTCACCAGGCAGAAGTCTCCACAGGGCCTACATAAGAAGGCAAGCATAAGTTAACATTTAATTTATTTTTCTTTTTACGTTTTATTTTTTACTTCAACATTGTTTTTTGTCATTTGTTTCCTTGCAGATTATATCTACATTGCTGAGGCCTCGGAACTGGAAAGCTCCTGTGAATAGGAAGTTTTTCTTGGATTCTTATGAAGTGGGAGAACTTTGTTATGCTGCTGAGCAGATCTTTATGCAGGAGCCAACAGTTCTTCAGCTGAAAGCCCCTGTTAAAGTATTTGGCGATCTTCATGGACAGTTTGGTGATTTAATGCGCTTATTTGATGAATATGGATTTCCATCTGCTGCGGGAGACATAACGTAAGTTAAGCACTTTTTCTCATGCCATATCGGTCATTATACTTGTGGGAAGAATTTGTTTTGCACCAGAATTGTGACTCTGATATTCACTGAAGACATCAGTAGTCTAAGTTCTAAGAAAGAATTTACTCCAATTCTTCTTGTCAAAATCTTTCTAAGATGTTGAAGTGAGACTTGTTGTTAGAAGGATTTTTTTTTGGGGCTGATGCTACCCTTCTGTTGTTACAGGTATATTGACTACTTGTTTTTGGGGGATTATGTTGATCGAGGGCAGCACAGCTTGGAGACCATAACTTTGCTCCTTGCACTTAAGGCAAGTTCTGCTTTTAAGTAATCTAATTCATTTATAGTTGCATTCTGTCACTTCTTATATTTGACTGCATGCTCTGTTTGGTTCTGCAGATTGAGTATCCTGACAATGTTCACTTAATACGTGGAAACCATGAGGCAGCTGATATCAATGCACTTTTTGGTTTTCGTATTGAATGCATTGAGAGAATGGTATGGATACTTATGCAGACTTGATATTTTCTCTGAAATTTCAGAATATTAAATGTTGTAGTAACTTATTTGCATGCAGGGAGAGAATGACGGAATATGGGCATGGACACGGTTCAATCAACTTTTCAACTATCTCCCACTTGCTGCACTAATTGAAAAGAAAATTATTTGTATGCATGGAGGCATTGGAAGATCTATAACTTCAGTAGAACAGATCGAGAAGCTTGAAAGACCCATTACAATGGATGCTGGGTCTATAATCTTAATGGATCTGCTGTGGTACACTCTTGCTCAATTCATCTGTCTGTTTGCTATTGATGGTTCATGTTTATGGTCTTATGAAATCTATGTACACAGGTCTGATCCTACAGAAAACGATAGTGTAGAGGGCTTGAGACCAAATGCCAGAGGGCCTGGCCTTGTCACATTCGGGGTACGCACTTTTGGGCACTTTTTTTTTTTTCCTTCATATTTGGATGGACATGTATATTGCTTTTTACATGAATTTATTTCCCATTTCTGTTAGTGACAGTGTGTGAATACCTTAGTAATCTTGTTTCATCCGACACTCTTTCATATGGTTGCTGCTTGCTTGCATATGCATAATTTTATGAAATGCATACTTGTGCCACCCTACCAATATGTTCTTACTACTCGCAGCCTGATCGTGTCACGGATTTTTGCAAGAGAAACAAATTACAACTTATTATAAGAGCTCATGAATGTGTTATGGATGGGTTTGAAAGATTTGCCCAGGGACAATTGATCACCCTGTTTTCTGCAACTAACTATTGTGGTAAGCAAATTTCTGGTCAGTTTCTTTCTATGTTCTGGTGTTTGCAATCTCATATGGCCTTTTCATGTAGGGACGGCAAACAATGCTGGTGCTATACTGGTTGTTGGCAGAGGCTTGGTTGTGGTTCCAAAATTAATTCATCCTTTGCCACCTCCTCTTCAGTCACCAGAGACATCTCCGGAACGGGTCATAGAGGACACATGGATGCAGGTAAGCCAATCTCTATATGTTGTTAGTCCGTAATATGTATTATTTAATTGTTAATCTTAAAATTTGCCACCTGCCTCTTTCATACTCTTGTATCTTTCTGATGTCCTGTAGGAGCTAAACATTCAAAGACCGCCAACTCCTACACGTGGCCGACCACAGCCTGATCTTGATCGGAACTCACTTGCATATATATAGCTGATAGACTTCTGTATTTTACAATTAGCGAATGTGACAATCCACATTTCGCTTGAGGCCTGATGCTTTCCCAGTTTCCACATTGTGTGGATTTGTTTTCCTCAACGCAGCGTGTTCTTGTTATATTTGGAAGTTAGAGTTGCAGAAGTTGAAGCCTTGTCTATTCAGTGTACACAGCCTGGTAATGCTAGAAACTTAGATGTTAGGGACTGAATAATTACCGTTTCTCGTAATTGAGTTTGTAATATATGTACAACAACGTAGTCTTGCGGAAGAAATGTAGAAGGTTTTTTTTTGGTCTTATGCTGTAGAGATAATTTATAGGGAAGGGAAATTGGGTTTTTTAGTTTTACTGTAATGTAACATAAATAATAACTTTACATTTGATTCTTTTCAAAGCATTTATTGTATTCTCTTTTGAAGAGGCGTGTTTCAGAACAAGCCCTGGTTTTGCAAGTGTACTGTATACGTTTCATGATTCCTCTCAAATTGCTATCCTTCGATCCAGAAATGAAAATAAAAATCATTCACAACTCGTTTCGAAATCCAATAATTTAGACAAATTGAAATTGCAAGAATAAGAGCTTGATGATGATATTAGTATTTGGGTGGAAATATACGTGAATGTGGAGAAATTACAGCCTCCTGTATGTACTTGAGAGAGCTGTTGGGGTCAGGAACCCAACGAATCTCACTCATGTTTGGTGTCTCCACATATGCCATGGTGAACTCTCCAACCTTCTCTATTTTGCCTCTCTTGCCTGCCCTCAGCAGAAGACTGTTCCTGCTGTAAGAGAAGATCCCATTGCTCAAGTGTATGATGTCACCGGGCTCGAATGCATCGCACTCCTCCCCCCACAGCTGAAAGTGGACCGCCGCCGTCTCGTCGGCCACCAGTGCTAGGCATGTCTTGTTTTGGCCTTGTGATGAGGATGTGTTCATAGAGGCTTTGTCCAAAAGTATGAACCTTGTGTTTATGTTGTTCTGTGCTGCTGGCACTATGTCTTTGAGCGCCACCATCTTTCTGTATGTATCTTTGCTTTGTTTCTGCCAAAGAAAAAAACCATTCAATCAATTGGCCCAATAATTTATTCAAAACAGGTATTTGATTGAATTGAAAATCGCAGAGAGAGAGAGAGAGAATACCTCACTAATGCCTTCGATTGATGATTTGAGTTGTGTTGCAAGAAGGGAAGCAGAGGATAAATCCGCGACTTTAAACGACATGCGTTTTATGGTGCCTCCAGAGAAAAGTCTAAAATACCCACCACCACCACGACGATAATTTTTTCTTATTTGTTTTTTTCAAGCCAGATTTGCTCAAAATAGCCACCGGGCACTCGAATGATCGTGTCGTTGTTCATGAAAAGCAAGAGTCAATTCCTCCTAACCCTAACCCTAAAATCTCATCGATGGAGCTCGCTCAGATGTTCAGATTCAATCGGACCTTCGCTCCAACCACACCCGATCTCCAGCCCCATCACCAAGAGAGGCTGATATCAATAATGGCTTCGACTCAATTGGATTCTCCGACCGGTAATCTTCGGTTTCGGGATCTCAATTCTTCGTTGATAATCGGGGTCTCAATTCTTCGTTGAGAATCGGTTCTCGCTTTCGGAAAAAGATTTCGCTTATGCAAGAGAGTTTTCTTACGAATCTTTACCTTCTCGATCTTCATCTGCAGGTAATATTATGCTTCCTTCTATTTAGTTATGCACCACTTGTTTCATTTTGTGAAGCGGATTAATTATCATCTGTGATGGATTATCTCAATTGATATGAGTTCTACTTTCAGAAAAAGAATAAATGTTTACGTCCTCTGGTTTTTTGGATATGATATTAGCAATATAATCATCCTTAGGTTTAATTTTATGCAAAAAAAAAAAAAAAAAAGAGTTTGCATCAGTAGGAAATACCTTCTATGACTGTTCAGATATTCAATTTTCCGTGAGTATTTTTGACTGCGTTGCATCCGTAATTACTTCTTTGTCTGCTGGTAAAATGCAATAAACTTGCTTGCTCATTTCAGGGTTACATAGTGTATGCCTTCTATTTCAGTTTAACTCGTTTACTTTCATTTCAGTTAGCTTCTTTTAATTGTTGTGTTGTGATCCTTGCTTCATTTGATATCTCTTATTTTGCTATGGCTGATCTCTTGGACTTGTACCTGAATTGTAAAGAGCAGTGGTTGGCCCTACAAATTTTCCTTTGGTGTTATTTAGGTTTCTGTCACATAGCTAGCACCAACTTATAGAATTTCACTGCCATGAAATACCTCTGGGCCTAAATTTCAAGAACTTATATTTTTATTGCCATCCACCCTCTTTTTTCAGGGATAATCTTGTAGTGTATTTAGGAATAGAGTTTTTAGTAGGAGAGGTGAATATTGAATATCCATGCTAAAATTGTTGAACATATCTGCCTTATTCGATTCTTTAGAATATGAGAAATTTGGCTATTATAAGTTAGTTTTAATTTGATTATAGCAGTCTCAAGTAAGAGAACCGAGGCTTGCTTGGCATCTCAAGGAAAGAGGGCCTGAAATGTTGAGCCTTTTGATTTATCAAGAATCAATCTAGTAAATATGATTCATGAGTTTAGGAATACTTCAGGTTGAAATAGTGAATTGCTTTTACCTGTTTGAAATGTAATTGATTATGTGTAGCCTCTCTCAACTTTTGTCAGGTTTCTTTGTCTTTGTGATTTGTGCATTTTAAATACCTCATACAATCAAGCATTTGAAATTAGGCTGGACTTAAATTTACCCGCTCCAATAAATCTGTCCTATGCATCTTTTTCAGGCACCACTATTAATAGTAATACCAAGCAACTGGCCTAGAAATATTAAAAGGAAGTCTTTTTCTGATGCTAAGGCCCCCGGTAATGCTGCAATACATGCATGTCAAGTGATGAGTTAACAGTCTACCAGCCTTTCTTTGCTGGAAATTGGGCTCTAGTCCATTTCGTTGCACATTTTTTATGTTTTTAATACTATTGAATAAGAATAGGCTCCAGCTGGATGGGTTCTATTAGAAGCGCTCTCAAGAACTTTTTCATAGTCCAATAGAATTTCCAAAACAGTAAGAATAGTTTTTCTTTCTATAATGTGATGCATGCATTAGTAGAGTGTAGATTGGTAGATTAGGAATTGCTCTGCAATTGATTGGTTTTTATGTTTAAATAATGCCACTTCAGCAATTGATCTGCAGTCAATATCTTTTTACAAATGTAATTTATGTTTTGGCCCGAAAAAATTAAAATTTAAGTTCCGCCACTGCTTGGAAATGATGCGTCCTCCAGTTCTTGATGTCCATCCCTGGACCAGTTATTGTACATTTAGTTGTACTTGTTTTATCTGTTTCTTCTGTATCTTTTGCTGCTATGCTTTTGGGTATCTGCATTCATTTGGTGGTTGTCTTTTTTGCCGTATTGTAAAGTTTGAAAATGCAAAAAGGTACTTCAGGGAGGGATGCTTCGATAACCTGAAGCTCGTTGCTGAGAAGGCTTGGGATCTTGAAATGAAGAAAGCGACTTGGGTGAATGATGTGATAACTTTTAGGAAGGAAGTTGGAGGATGAGAGGATAAAATGAGAATGAAAAAAACGACTGCGATGAAGATTATGTAGGTTCGATTCTGATCGGGGGGATGTTATTTGGTTTTTTTTCTTCCTTAAGTTTCTTTTTCACTTCATAAAATCATCCGATGCATGACAATGAAATCATACAGGGAAATTAAAAAAACAAAGTTAGCCCTAAAAATTCCAGTAATTTGACCCAATATGGGCTCATGTTCGCATAATTAATGGGTCATCGGCGGTCTCGTTCTGTATTTAGCCGTTTTTAGGATCTTGGGCTTACATCTACCCCATATATGAGAAAATTGGGCCCGCCTCGAAGTTATGGGGCCTACCAGTACCCCATAACTTTCAAGTGATTGAGCCGAATACTAGGCCCGTTTTCAAGTGATTGGGCCGACTTCTGGTTCTGCTTAGATATTATTGGGCTGAACGTCTGGACTTTTGTCACGTTATTTGGCGGAATTGTGGGCTTGATTCACGATAAATCGGCCAACTTTTGGGCTTGTATCACTATTGGGCCAACTTTAGGGCAAGTTTCGCGTTATTGGGCTGACTTTTGGGTTGTATCAAGTTATTGGCCAACTTTTGGGCTAGTTAAAGATTTTGGGCCTTATTTTTACTGGGCCGACTTTTGGGCTTTTTCACGTTATTAGGCCCACTTTTGGGCATGTTTCACGTTATTGGGCCGACGTTTGGGCCCGTCTCATGTTATTGGGCCTTTTTTGGGGCCTGAGTCATGTTATTGGGCCAACTTTTGGGCCTGTTTAATATTATTGGGCCTAGTTTTGGGCCCATTTATATGTTACTGGGCCAACTTTTGGGCATTTTAAACGTTATTGGGCCAACTTTTGGGCCTGTTTCATCTTAATGGGCCTATTGGGCCTTTGGGCCTAGTTTCATGTTGTTAGGCCGACTTTCAGGCCTGTATCATGTTATTGGGCCGAATTATGGGCTTGTGTTACGTTATTGGGCCAACTTTTGGGCCTGTTTAATTTTATTGGGCTTATTTTTAGGCCCATTTTCATGTTACCAGGCCAGCCAAATTTGGGCCTCTTTTACGTTAGTGGGCCTAATTTTGGGCCCGTTTAATGCGTTTGGGCCGACTTATTGGGCCTCTTTCATGTTATTGGGGCTAATATTGGGCCCATTTCATGTTATGGGGTCTACTTTTGGGCCCGTTACACGTTATTGAGCGGACTTTAGGCATGTTCTATGTCATTAGGAGACTTTTGGGCCCATTTTCATGTTATTGGGCCTCCTTTTGGGGCTGTTTCAAGTTGGTGGACCACCTTTTCGGCCGACTTTCCTGATTTTGGGTCGAATTGTAGGCACTTTCACATTTAATTGGGCAAACTTTTGGGATAGTTTCAAGTTATTGGGCCGACTTCTGAGCTTACTTTTCCTTCTGGGTCTGTTTTGGGGCAGGGAGGCTATAATGAAGAGTTTAAAGTGAGGAGGCTATCTGAGGAGGTCAATCTCACCATCAACAAATGTACAGAAATTATGGGACTTCAACATTTTAAATGTTTTCATGGTGGGATTGACCTTCTCAAATAGTCTCCTCACTTTAAGCTCCTCATTGTAGACTCTCCCGGTCTGGGTATATCTATGGCTCGACCAAACCTGAAGCTATTGGCACAGCATTTCTCCAGTTATAATCTTTTGGATATTTTATCCAGTTTTATCCCGACTTGTTTTACTTCAATTCTCAAATACCTGCTTGCGAAGTTGGCGTCAAAAAGGTAAAAACGACGCCCCTAAACAATTGAAAAATAGATAACTCCTAGAGAAATTAAAACACGATGCACCCAAATCCAATAGCATTTTAAATAAATATTTAAAATAAATGAAGAGATTCAGTAAATCATTGAAAAAGAATGGAACAGCTGGGGTGATCGATCACTGCAGAACATTGATTAGCATGGTTCGTTATTCGTCTTTTTATGCCTGGTGTCAACTTGGTCTCCTGTAAGTAGATTTATGGGCCCAAAAAATCCAATTCTGAAGGCCAGAGAGATTCAAGAAAGCAGAAGCAAATATAAACTGCAGTCCTAAACCTTAAAGTTACAAAAACGAAACATATTGGGCGTATCCACTATCCACGTTCATAATGTTTTCACAGGGTTTCTAATTAAACATATAATTATAACTTCTATACACCATTATTAGGATGGAAATTTCTGGATGCAAATGATTAAACAACCCTTCTATTTTGAGGTTGCCTAACTCATAATCAGAGAAAAGCAAACCTTTTATTCTGTGTAGCTAGCTACCTATATTTATCCAATTCCCATAGGAGAAAAAGAAAAGAGAGAAGAAAAACAGAAAGTTTACATTTGCAATAATCCAGTTAAAACATTGAAATAGCATTTTACTTCTTATTGTCACCTCCATCTAAAGAAACACAAGCAATGAACTTCCAGCAACAGAACTCTAATTTGCACTAAAATCATATCCAACCTAGTAACTGTTATTGGAAACATGAATCTTCTACATGGTTTGGTCAGTGTATCTCTACATGTGTGTGTAATTTACTGTATGCTGTGAAGATGTAACAGATAACAAATAATACATATACATCAGCATGACGAAATTATGTGACAACGGAAAAATACACAAAACATCAGGAAGGAAAAAGAACAACCAATAAATTCCAAAAATAAATAAAACCCAAAGTCATCAAACCCTATAAATAATTAAGTTTGATAACAATTTAACAAACCTCCAGCATAGGTTCTAAAGGTTTCTATAGCATCAATAGTGGCTAACGTAAGTTGAAAAAAGGTAACCCCAAAGGCAAGATTTTCACCTTTTTTTTGACAACCATACTAGAAACTCCACGTATGCTCTTTGTGTGATTTACTCAAATTGCTAGCAGCTTAAGAACTACAGGGAACTAAAGTAACAAGACTGATTGATGCACACAATAAATTTGGTGCACTGAGTTTTATTGCTGGTATGCATAACCTAGTAATTAATGTCACTGAGCTTTAATTCCTAACCGAAAATGGGAAAGGATCAACCTGAAATTTCAGTTTCTAAGCTGTTGCCATAAAGATAGGCATACATAGAAAGCAATTCAGCTCATAATAGACAAACCTACATCGCCATAAATTTCAATTCCAACAGAAGATGTTCAACAACCACCTACAAATGGCGTGCTGCTTAAATTCAGGCAACAACTATCTTTAAAGTCTCTCAACGTATCGTATTGGCATTATGATTTGCATCCAAAATGCAATTCCAAGGAAATAAAAAAAGAAAAATCCAAACGCACAGTAGAAATAGAAAGATCGCTAAAATGAAATGCAACTAGATCTCAAAAGGGGATTCAAAGAGCATTAAAATAAATGCAAGTAATTAGGTTAGAAAGATGTAGGGGCAACCTGACGAGTGCACGTAAGATAACAACAGACTTGCGGAAGCTCAAAACCTAATGTGAGACGAATCAAGGTCTCTTCAGAGCCGATGAACGAATTCGCCATCAGATTCGACGATGAACGAATTCGCCATCAGATTCGACGATGAACGAATTCGCCATCAGATTCGACGATGAACGAATTCGCCATCAGATTCGACGATGAACGAATTCGCCATCAGATTCGACGATGAACGAATTCGCCATCAGATTCGACGATGAACGAATTCGCCAGCAGATTCTTCATCTTCTACATCTTCGGATTAGGGTCAAGGTTTGGGATTCTGTTGATGAAGAAGACGAAGAATGAAGAACGATACGTCGAATTAGGGAGAGTACCGAGCTCCATGTTACAGTGATGGGGTAGGGAAGGGTAGGTCTAGGGTTTGAGAGATGGTCGCGTTTGTTCCGATTCACTCTGTCAATTCTTCGACCTCAACAAAGTGGGTGTATACAAATACAAAGCCATGTTTCGTTACTTCTTTGGCGCGATTTTATGTTTGGGGATATTCCTTGCTTATTCATCTTAACCGTTCATGTCCTATAAAAGATCTGACGGCTGATAATACACCGCATCAGTATATTAATGGTAGTGTAGAATAACCTGACTTTTGATAAATTTGTTCGTACATATTTCAGATATCAAATTCCAAAATTAATGCCAGCTAAGTTTTCAGTCATCCATATATGATTTGACATGTAATAACACGTCTTTTTGTTTTTTTTTTTTT